AATATACTAGTTAAAAATTTTTTTATTAAAATAAAACCAGATTAATTTAAATATATTTAATTTAATTTAGTTAAATTGAAGCAGTTATTGTGAAACATGTTTCAAGTTGTTTTTGCATTGAATTTGAATCAGATTCAATTTTGAATCAGATTCGGATTTGGATGTGGATCGGATCGGATTCGAATCGAATCGAATCAAAACAAATTTAGATTCAAATCGGATCGGATCAAACTGTTATGGTTTCGAATCAGATTGGATCAGTTTAAAACGAATCGAATCGAATCTAGTTAAAATCTGATCCGATTCGATCTGTTGTAATCACTACCTTCTAGGTTTTTGAGTCTTGAACTTAAATTAATTTATCAGTTTGGATTATAGCTTTTTGATATCTCTCTTAGTATCGAAAAAGATATTAATCTATACTGACCTGGTTAAAAGCTTTGTGAAGTTAATGTTGGAGCTCAAGAAGCTTATTATAAATCAATTTATTTTTGTTTTCTCTTCTTATTAAAGCAAATAAAAAATAGAAAGATATTGCTGCTCAATAATAATGTTCTTTATATATTATTTAAAAGGAAGTTATTACTATCTCTTTTTAAGATTGTTTTTTATAAAAAGGTTTTTATTAAGAAAATTATTATAAAAGGAAATTTTTTGAAAATTTAAGGATTGTACTGTATTTATATTTTTTATTAAATTTTATTAAATAATTATTAAATTATAAGTAAAAATAAAATAAAAAGTAAAAAGTTTTTTAAATTATATATAAAAAAAATAAATATATAAAATTTTTTTAATTTTTTTTACTAATAAAGTCTTAATATTATTTATAAAACTATTTGAAATATATTCTTTTAAAAATTAATTTTAATTTTATTATTTTATTTGCAATTTTTTTAATTAAAAACTTTATTTTAAATAAAAAAAAATCTTGTAATATCTTATTATCATAATAAAAAAGTTTCTAAAGAAAGAAAAATCAATTATAAAATATTTAAAAATTACTTTATTTTTCAAACTAACTCTTATAAAAATTTGGTATAATAAATTTTTTTTTTTTTTTTTTTTTAAAAAAGTTATTATATTTTTTTAAATTTTTACTAATTATAATTATACAGTTGCTTTAAAAGTTTGAGTTTATTTATTATACTTTTATTATAAATTTCAATTTTTATAATTTTTAAATCTTTAATTATATAATAAAAAATCATAAAAATTATATATATTATGTGTCTTAATATTTATTTTATTTCTTATATTTTTTTTAAAAAATTTTTATACATAAGTTAAAAAATTTTTTTAAAAAATTTTTATACATAAGTTAAAAATTTTTTTCTTTATTAAATTTTTACTTTTGAATAATTTTAATTAATTGTTATTGTAAATCATATAATAATTAATAATAAAATTTTTTTAAAAAATATAAGAAAAAGAATAAGTATCAAGACATAATATATTTATAATAAAAATATAATAGGTGAACTCAAACTGTTGAAAACAATTATATATTTTAATAATATTATTGATAATTGATAATTAAAAAAAAAATTTTTTTTGAAAAAAATAATTTTTCAATTAAACAAGTTGGTTCCTAAGAAAAATAATTATCATATATTGATCAAGTTTTTTAATAATAAAAAAATTTTATTAAAATTAAAAATTTCAAATTTTTATTATAATCAAATGAAATTTTGAAAAAGATTTTTTTATCTTGATCAAATAAACCTTTTCAATATAACATTAATACAAAAAATATAATAAATGAATCTATATATTAGTTAAAAAATAAGTTTTTTAAATGTTTTTGAAAAAGTTTTATGGTTTAGAAATAATCAGGTTTTTCAGATAACTTAATATTAAAAAATATTTCAATTAAATAAATTCTTTTAAGAGAAGATTGTTGAATTGATTAAGAATTTTTTGATAAAAAAATTTTTTTTAATTTAGCAATTCATAGTTTTTTAAATAATTTGTAATAACAAATGTTGAGATCAAGTATCAATTTATTAGAAAAGTGAAATATTATTTTTTAAATCTGATTTAGAGCACTTAGTTCAAATATCATTTTATTTAACTTAACGAATTCTTCATATTTTCTACTAATAACGTATAATGATAAAATTAGTTGTTATGTAATAGTTAATAATATTGTAGCCATTCATTCAATATCTCAATAAGGGCATGCCATGATGACATGATTGCGAATTAAAAAAATTTCTGTTGTCTTGGCAAATACTACTTTATAAAATTTATTTGATTAACATATCGATTCTAAAATATTTTTACGCCGTTAATCTTGCAACTTTTCTTTGTCTTATAACTATTATTTACTTTTGACCATGAAACAGTGCTTACAGTATATTGTTGAAAATTTAAAACTTCTTAACTTTCGTTATTTGATATCGAGTCACATATTGAACTGGTCATAAGACCAATAACTGGGGACAGCAATTAGTTTTTTTATAATGCGAAAATGATGCGCCGGCGATTTTGATTAAATTACCATGTTAACAAGTAATGATATCAGATCACTCAATGCACTGCCCTTCGAACTGATTCTATTTGCATAAAACGACAATGCTAGTGTTGCGTTCTTTCTAGAAAGCTGGCGATTTCTATGAGCAAATCCCTATATACTGTATGCGACGAAGCGTGTGATCTGTAAATAATGGCACGTGATAAACTTGATCAATTATTATGAATAAACGCGTATTGAGTCTTTGATAAATTATTTATCTGAATTTGAGATTAACGAAATTTTAATTGCAAAGTAATTTAAAGCGCTTCTTTCAAAAGAATAATAAAATTCTTGAGATACAGTACATTGCCATTAAAATAAGAAACAATAAATATAAATCTCACTGTAATGCTAAAAGTAATCGTTCATCATTTCTTTCAACCGTAAATGTAATTTGAAGGAAATTCATTTGCGAACTCGTCAAAATCTCGTTTACCAGAGAAAAAAAGAAATTGAAATAATGCTTTTATTAACATTTGAACCGTAAAGTCGGATTCTATAGTGAGAAAGATGGAGCCACAGGACATGCCAAGGACGCCATCAAGCAAAAAACTACTGCTTCCCTCGATTTACTAAATAAATAATGTCTCGACACACATTACACGCACTGGTTTAATATTTTCTCGACCAAATGTTGTCGTCGCCATCATCATCATCATCATCATCATCATTTCCGCCATCGTCACCATTCCTACATCTCTCGGGGATGGTATTACTCTCCTTCCGGATACCGCCTCCCCAAGGAGTGCCACCAACAATCTTCGCTTTCAATCCAAGTCCCCTCTTTGCAAATCCTCGCCAAATTTCACATGCATTCTCACCACCTGTTAGCAATTCATCGGCTTGAATGATCGCATCCCTGGCGTCGATAAATGTCGGTCGACATGGCTGTAATTTCAATCCGTCCACCACCAATTGTAGGGTCAGAGTGTTGCCATGCTTGGGCGTTCTAATTTTCTTGTTAAGAGATTTTCGGGAATACCATTTGGCCAAGGATGTTGGATGATTGTCAGTCGGTGGGAACCAGTCGGGAGTGAATCCGTGTTTGTCCACAAGATTCCAATATACTTCGTACAACAGTTCCGCCCAAACCGCTCTATTGCATGCAAACAGATTTATATCAATACATCGTCAACTCACCGATTGATTCAGAAGGAAAGGCGGTTTTAAGGAATGCATACCCTTTAGCGTGAACTCCCCAGTATCCTGGTTTGTCCAGATACGAAAAGGTTTCTGGGTTGGTCTTCAGGGAAGTCGAATACTAAGAATATATAATAGAAAAAATATATATTATCATATATCATTGATTAATGATCAATTAATTAATCAACATGATACAATATCAGAGACACGACGACATACCATGTACTTTCTTATGCCTTCACCGCCGTTTGCCCAGTCGCCCATGCCGAAATCCCTTGTGCGATCAATAGTTGAATTCATTCGTAATATGGTGGCGAAGAAGTCACCCCAACCTTCACCCATTCCACCCGCTTCACCCCATCCAAGGCAATTGCTGTTTGCGGGTCCACCGGTTAATCTCGTGGAAATACCGTGAGAATATTCGTGGATCTGAGGAAAGATAGAATCGGGTTAATAACCTCGTAAAAGGAATACATGCATGGCAAATAAATTTTAAAAGAAGCACGCACGATAATGCCGGATTCCAAATCGCCATCACGCCACGGATCAGAAATGTCCCAAACGTACATACGCATTTTTCCATTCTGGCCATCCGGAGGTGTCGCGAAATTGGCATTGTTGAATCTGACGGCAAATCAAAAGGAAGAGTTACCGGTGTCATTAGCACTTCTAACCTTTCCATGTGCACATCTATTTCAACACCGAATCAAGACACATACCCAGATCCGTCTTGTGCATTGGCGATCACGGGATCCCCACCTTTTCCACCTTTGCCATAATTGTTTTTTTGAAAATTGCCGGCGATCTCGTTGAATCCATACCGATAGAACAAATCGTGAATCTTTTTTTTTTTTTGAAATGAGCAATTCCCGTTAGTAATTGCGACATACAGTAAAATATATAAATAAGATGCGCACGTCCAGATTGAATTTATTACTCACGATATTGTTCCAGTAAAATAGATTTGTGACCGAAGCATCGATGTAAGTGTTGGGAGCTTGGTTCAAATCCAGCGGAAAATCAAAGGTCAACAGGTCACCACCTTCCGGACGATAGTTATCCTCCCAGTCACGTCTTCCTTTCAAGTTTTCATGAGCATAAACGTTATTCCCGATGGTGTTGGTAAAATTTTTTTTACCCTGAGTGTGCCAACCATAGGGGGAAGCCACTAGATCATAAGGATCTTCTAACAATTTTCTATCGCCGTCCGACGGATCGTTGATACCCAGGGGGAATACATTGTACGCGGCGTCCGCTACCCAATCAACGAGAGATATGACGTCACCGGTGTAGGCGTTCAGATGAGCATTATACCAATTATCTTCCATCTCAATTTGGATGTCCCAAGTGAGTGACAACGATTGATCATCCATCTGGATGTAGGATTGACTCATTCTCACGTCGGAAAGAGCGAACGGTACATTGGAAATTAAAAGGGCTTGATCATTGCCGTCGAGGCTACTGTATTCCGTGTACTCAAACTTTTCCGGATGCGTCATTTCTTTATTTACGAAACGCGCGAAATATTCCAATGCTCTCTCGGGAGAGATGATCTCGCCAACTTCATCGTTTACGTGATAATACAGTTCTTCCCTGGTCACGTGTTTACCTGGAAGAAGGATGGGGTTGTCACCATCCTCGCTGCCGAGTGTAAATTGAGAACGAAATTGACCACCGATGAAATTATCGTCATCGTCATTCCCTTGATTGGAAATTCCCTCTCTTGGCTTTGGCCTTGGAACGACGAACGAATCACCATAAGATATTATTCTACCAAATCGGTCAATATTGACATTTAAATCAGCATTGGTCACGATTAAGCCGTTGAAAACCTGTTTGAAATAAACGTGAGTGACGCCATTGTGTTCGGATTTGTAAATGTCCTTGATGATAAAGTCAGCATTTGGATGCAATCGTGTTGAAACAAAGTTCTTCGCAATTTCTCGGGAGTCGGCGGTGCTAAAACCCGAAAAAGTTCCATAGTGAATTATTGAAGGGGCTTCATATTTTCGGTGATTAAGTTCAGGACCGAAGCTTGCTCGACGACCAGGTGACGAGTCGTGAGAGGTGACGAGATAATGGGTCAACAAGGACCAAGCTAAAAATGAAAGTATAATCCGTTTCATGACCAATATAACATTTATTTTAGCCCAGTATGATCACCCTATTTAAAATCTCTGAAAAATCGAAACTTGTTTTATCGCGTTATTAATAATCCGATTCGTAGATTTCTTTCTTTCTTTTTTTTTTTTTATGAAGTATTCATAAGATAATCTTGAGAACAGGAGTTAGAACAGAGGGACCATTTAATTAAAAAAAAAAAAAAAAACGAGAAAGGGAGTCCGTAGAGGGGAGAAGCCAAAAGAAGGTCATATATACACAAATGGACGATCGATAATACATGTTTTTCAAAAAGCCCGAGAGCCAAGCATCGAAAGGGGAGGGGTCACTTGATACCTTGATGCATATTCACTACAATATATTAAACAAAGTGGCATCGAATTTCTTTTTTAGAATGTCGCAAGGCGATCTTGTGACCCGTTTTTGTGTTTGATAAATAGAGAACAAACAATAGTACATGATTTCCAAAGTAAGAACCATTCATGAGAGATTCAGAAGGCGTAAGAAACTGAGGCAAGTTGTAATCTAAATTGTACTTGTATTATACGTGTAACGCATATAAAATACGTTATCCGATAATCAGGGAGGATGTTGCCGATGTTACCCCATAGGCCGAACTGTTCACGCGACGTGACACAGACAAACGGATTCACCAAGAAAGGTAACTTTCGTAACTTTAGCATTAATAACTTCTTGTTTCTCCACGCTTATCGAGAAAGTGTTTTATTAATATTGTATGTAGAAGAAGAGCGAATTACCAAAAAGGTAAAGGGTCATTAGGCAGCGTCGCAGAAGTTGTCAACCACCAATCACCCGTGAAATTGATGAATCCTATCTTTTACCATCATCACGACATTCTACCCTTTAATTACGTATCTTTTCGAAATTTTCCGTACCGTGCATGAATTTCATAAGCCTCCGACTGACTTTTCTTTTTCAAGGTATTGTTAACTTGTATTCTTGATCATATCTAGCCATTTCTCCAACAGAGGTCTCGTTCAACTAACATTTGGATGCCACGGGGCCAGGGGTTATTGAACATGCAAGTACATAATCTCGCAGACGATAGGAAAAAGAACCATGCATCGAGAAATTGACTATTCGGATTCTGCATACTTGCTTGACAATAAAGAGATGGAGTGTTGGTTCCTGCGCTCCTAACTTTGGATTATTGGAACTCTTGCAATATTTTCACGTGGCCTCTCTTTCTTGATCGATCGAATTTACAAAAGACCGAGAATTAAAAATTCAATGCGTCCATATACCGATACGGTACATTAAATAGTCATCTAATTAAAAAAAAAAAACTTGAATGTGTAATAGTGCATTACCTGTGTTTTATTTACTCTTTATGGCCAAGACAGGTGCATTATTAAAATTTATTAAAACCACCGTTGATAGCGTGTACGTAATTGTTTACGACCGAAACATCCTTAATATGATTATATCATTATATCGTGAGGTCATGTTGGTGAATAATCCACAGTCACTCAAAAATGTAACACAAGATTTCTTTACCATAAACAATATACTGTGTCATACTGTATACATTCGAGAACAAAAATAGCCTTTAACTATGGAATGGCTCTTTTTTTTTTTTTTTTTTCAATTATACTGTATATACAGAGATAGATAAGCCGGTTTTGGAAAAAAATAAATTGACTCAATAACACTGTAGAAAAAAAATTGTTATTATAATATAAATAAAGATATTAATAATCAAAAAGATATTACCGTATGATCAAGTTCATTAGAACCGTAGTTTGTTATGCTATATTCAGAGTTATTGTATCATATAATTTTAGAAAAAACTTTTTGTTAAAAATATTATATACAGTATACGGTATAAACAGTATATCATTAGTCTATCTTTTTAAAAAAAATAAAATTATTTGAAGGAAAAAATGAAACTCGGTTTATTGTGATTAGTAGTCAGGATTTCATATAAGCCATAAATAGTTTTCTGTATTACTTAATGCTAGCTAAATTATTAGTAGTCAGGATTTCATGTATACTTTAATAGTCTTTTGATTTATTTTTTTAATATGCAATTATATTATCATGGATATACTGTATCTTTATAAACATTTATACTGTATATTATATTAACTATTATACGATAACTAATATATTGTTATATATTATTGATTAAATAACTATACTTTCGAAAAATATGACAAGTTTATTAAATCAATTTAAATTCAATAAAACAAAGTTTCAATTGAATATTTTAAATTAAATTTGAACAATGATATTCTACTTCTCTAATAAATTAATACTTGATCTCTATTTTTCTAAAATCATTATTTACAATTTATTCTAAAAAATGATAAATTGCTAAATTAAAATGTGAAATAATAATTATTATTATTAAATGAAAATGATTTAAAACTTTTTTAAAATTTTTAATCAATTCAATTATTTCTTCTTGAAAAATTTTATATTATTAAAATATTCTTTAATCTTAAATTATCTAATTATTTTTAAATAATAAAATTTTTCAAGAATATTTAAAAAAACTCTGTACTTATTTTATCTTTTCTTTGTATTGATACTATACTATTTGACTAAAATAAAGAAATCCCTTAAAAAATTTGTTTGATTAAAATAAAAACTTAAAAATTTTAATATTTACATTGTTGATCATAAGTAACTGATGCCTCCTATTTTTTTAAACCAGTAAGTTAATTTAAAAAAAATTTTTTTTAAAAAAAAATTATATTATTCATATTAATTCTTAATATATTATATAGTCTCCTTCAGATTCTATTAAAGCTTCTATACGACAATATATGCTGCTTATTAATTTAGTAACAAATTTAGATAAAATTTGTTTTCATTCTTTTTTAATTAACATTTTTAACTATTCTATTGATCAAAAAAATTTTTTTTGCAATATTTAATTTCATTACTTGTTACATATTTTTTATAGGGTTTTAATCAAATAACATTAATGATCATGAAAATATCTTAATATTCTTTTTCTCCTTCCAATTTTTTATAATTTTTGATCAGTGCTTTGGATCATTATCTTTTTGCAAGAATCATTCTAAATTATCTATATCAAAAAATTTAGTAAAATAAGGTAAGAGATTCTTTTTATATATTTTAACTATAAAATTTGAACTAAAATTCTACTAGAAGCATACTAATCTTTCAAATCCAAAAGTCAAAAAATATCACCACATATAAATATTCAATAAGTACTTAACAATATAACATATTTTTTTTTTCTCTTTAAACTATTAAACTTTTTTTATGACGAGAATAATTAAAAGATCTCTTATCTAAAAAAATAATTAAATTTTAATTGAAATTTATATGTTTCTTTGCCTATTAAAACTGTCATTCTTAGTGATTGTTTATAAAAGAAGATTTCTAAATATTATTTATATACTTGTTCCAGTTTCATCAATATATTATCAATAGTTCTTACACTAATACTTATGCTATTTCTTTATATAATTCCTTATATTTCAAAACTTGTTATATTGTAATTTATCTTTGTTATCTTAACAATTCACTCAACTTGTTTTATTGTCATATTATATATCTGACCAGTCTTTTGTTTATCAGGTAAATCTTTCAAAATTCACTATTTTTAAATTCAATAAATAACTTTAGATTTAAAGTAACCATTATAAACTACTATATCTAAAAAACTCAGATTTATTATCTTCAAATATTAATATAAAAACACAATTTCATAATACTTATAAAATAAAAGAACAATAATTTTAACATAATATTTATTTATTATTTAATGCTAGATTTAGAAGTCACACAAATATCAAAATATAAAGTAATCAAAATTTGTATTACTTTTAAAACATTTTTTTTTTAACTGACGAAGCCCTGCCATTGAGTTTTTATTTATTCATTAATATAGGCTTATATATATAAATTTAATTGCAATTCTATATATTTATAAAAGGAAAAAAATACTATGACTCAGTATTCTATTCCTAGAAATTCTGTGACTTGCTGCAATTCACCTTAGTGAATGTTAGCATGTCAAGACTCCACTAGCACTAATATTGAGTAAAAAGAAGAAGAAAAAAAAATTACTATTGTTTAGGATATTCTCTGTCATAATGTTGATTAGTTCTATATATAATTTCTCAAACCTATCCTTAAGATATTTCCTTAAATCGATTTGGACTCATTCAGGCTCTGGGTTTAACTCAAAAAATTTGATGGCCTATGATGTTGGTGAGTCTGAAATTTGTAATGTCATTTGTTGATTGGATGTGTTATATTTGACCTGCTCCTTCTTGTACTAGAGTTTTTTCCCTATGTTTTAACTTTTTTCTCAGTCAATTGTAATGTTATATCTAAGTTTCCATACTTTCCACTTAATCTGTCAGAATTTGTGTGTTGCTTCTCTGATTGCATCTAGTGCTTTGATTCTATCTTTTGTTATAGATTCTGCTACTTGAATTATATCATATGTTATGACTCCCTTAATAATATCTTTCCATTTGACTTGGTACCATGCTTTGATATTTTTCTTATACTTCTATATTATTTGTGTTCTTTTTTATTTATTTTGAATCAGTTCTGTCTATTTACCTTCAGCTCTTACTATGCTTTCCTCTGTCAGAACTTGAATGAAATCTTCCTAAAGTCTTGTTTGTATTGTGTCATATTGAAAAATATGATTATTTGTTTCTCTGTGCTGTTTGCAAATTTTGCTCACAAGCTTAACTTGTAATTTTATTAATCGAAACTGTTGTATTATTACAAGTAAGTAATTATATATATATATTATAGTAAATCATATCTATATAAATAGCTATATATATATTTAAACTAATGCTATATATCATCACTACCAGCTTAATCACAAACTGGAAACCCATGCAATTTTGTCTTAATTATTCCTAGAACAATTTTTTCCCTAAAAGTATTCTAGTTATCAGGCTATCAAATTCAGTATCCTGGATTCCAGTTTTTAATCCTTTGGAGTAGTCTGCAAATTTCTTCTCCTATTAAGACATTCTAA